TTAAATGGTTTTTGAAAATTATATTAGGAGGAAATACAGCTGGGTGATTAACGGATATATAATCAATTACCCTCATAAGAATCAATTACATAAGCTAGTGCCAAGTAAAATAATTAATCAATCAAAATTATGTTTAATTAATGCCATGAAAATAATTAGTCTCCAATTAGTACTGCTTGTGATTATTTCAACTATCCAGTAATGAAAATTATGATTAAATCAATTAATGTAACAAAAATAATCTAATTAAAATTGGTGTTTCTGACTAGTGGTGTTTTCAATTATTCTAACTATACAGTTATTTAAATAATACCATTATTATTTTCAATTAAGTCATATTTGTTCAGCTTCATCAATTAACCACAACTCGTGAAAATATTTATCTAATCAAAACTGTTGTTTCCATTATTTAATATTTTCAATTATTACAACTGTTCAAGTAATAGAAATATTGCCAATCTGTTAGTTTGTGGTTAAGTACAAAGCTACATAATGGGTTATCTACCTGTGTTCTGCCCAAAGCAGGTATTGTAACCCAATTTGTAGCATTATAAGTTGTTGTTTTTTTAGCCATCTTGTGAGAATAGTTGATTAGTTGAATTTAATTAATTAAAAACCTGACAATCCAGTGATTAGCAAATTTCACTAACTGCCCAGCTCTAAGAGGGATCCACACACAATTATATACAAATTAAGATGGTATAAAAGCAAATGATGGAATAGACAATTATTATTCTGTTACTAGTAATGGAAGGCATGGTACAATGTTAAGTTTGAAATAATGAATAATGTCATTAGAGCTGTACCATTGAAATGGCTGCAACACCGAAGAAGCATACCACCACCTAATTAACACAAAATACAGACCGTGCAAAGCTGCTGCTATCAGTTTTAAAGTTTTGATAGACTAGAAATATATCCAGCTATCCAAGATCAGGGCATCTAGAAAGATCAAAGAACATTGGGCACAATTTGTTGTATGGGTGTTGCATACACTAGTAACTTTGCTACACAATCCATTCTTGATATATATAATTTCTAGGATGTGGCATGTCAGACCAGCTTTCACATGACCAGTTGTGTAGAAAGCTGTAACTTTGCTACACAATCCATTCTTGATATATATATAATTTCTAGGATGTGACATGTCAGACCAGCTTTCACATGACCAGTTGTGTAGAAAGCTGTAACTTTGCTACACAATCCATTTTTGATATATATAATTTCTAGGATGTGGCATGTCAGACCAGCTTTCACATGACCAGCTGTGTAGAAAGCTTTGCACAATGCACTCAATATGTTTCCTTACACCATCCAATCTATGAATGTGGTTATGGATTTTGAAAAAAAACATTTGCAGATTAATTTATGATTCATGTTGTACGTTAAGCCCATTTCACTTTTTATGATTATGTACATACTCATAATTATATCATATAGGCCAATTACAATGCATGGGTCACTTAAGAGTCAATAAAACTAAAAGTATATACAAACAAAAACACAGAGAACCAGTCACAGATAGTAAAAATAAATATATATGCAAGCCTGAAAGTACACAGAATCACACTTAACTGACTTACAGATACTGAAAATATAAATATAACCAATTCAGAATGCACACAATTGATCACCTTTCTACATAACCTATTACAAACAATAAATATATAAAATACAAACCAGGATTCGCATAGCTAGTCACCATTTTTGTGTAAAAGAATAAGACTTTTTCCATAACTTTACACACAATGTAGCATCACTAAATTATTATATTCCTACAAGCGAGTATTAATTAACACCTACCAATTATGTATTAGCATTACATGTTTTAAGATATTTTCATGAAAAGTGTTCTTACACATATATCATAATTTTTATGGAAATTTATTAATAAAGAAATACTTTTAACTACCTTCACATTTGAAGTGTGTATAAAAGAATTCCAGATTTGTTAATAAAGAAATACTTTTAACTACCTTCACATTTGAAGTGTGTATAAAAGAATTCCAGATCTGTTAATAAAGAAATACTTTTAACTATCTTCACATTTGAAGTGTGTATAAAAGAATTCCAGATTTGTTAATAAAGAAATACTTTTAACTACCTTCACATTTGAAGTGTGTATAAAAGAATTCCAGATTTGTTAATAAAGAAATACTTTTAACTATCTTCACATTTGAAGTGTATATAAAAGAATTCCAGATTTGTTAATAAAGAAATACTTTTAACTATCTTCACATTTGAAGTGTGTAAAAAGAATTCCAGATCTGTTAATAAAGAAATACTTTTAACTACCTTCACATTTGAAGTGTGTATAAAAGAATCTTAGATTTGTTAATAAAGAAATACTTATAACTACATTCACATTTGAAGTGTGTATAAAAGAATTCCAGATTTGTTAATATGCAAAGTGCTAATTGAAATACACAAGATATATTAAAAAAAAATGAAACTCTTTCAACTTCAATTAAAAAATAATACTTTAATAATATACCAGTATTTTGACTCTGTCTGTGAACTAATAGAATTAGTAACCTATTTTTGTATTGCATGTTACCCTTACAAAACACAATTCAAAAATATTGGCATAGAAGTATTACATTTTTGTAAAATTTAAAGTATTTTTGTTTTTACTTAGCAAATCATTTTAACAATATATTCTTCAAAGGGTAGAGCCAACATTACATTGTATATATATTTTATACAATTATATATTATATTGTATATAATATATACAAATCTTAAATCTTTTATTGTATCGATATTACAATATGGAGGTCATTTCCTTTAAAAAAATAGAACTTTTTCATGCTGAATAAAGACAGAAATGGGAACCAGCACTGGATAAAGCTAATGCCACACTAACGGCAATGGTTTTCGCTGGTATGCAATTATATCTTCAGAACAAACTTTGATCATTTTTCTGGTAAAAAACAAGAACTACACTAATAGAACTAGTATCCCATTTTCCTTAAAATACTTGTGTATCCATAGATACTAAGAATCTCCTGATAATGCATTTCCATCTTTTTAAATAGGAATAGTGATGAACAAATAAACTGTAAAATAAATGTCTGTCGATGAACATAACCATCTTGAAAGATAATGGACAGATCATATTCCATGTTTCTTGAACTTAGACCATAAAAAGTAATCTTAAACTCCATATTTAAGTAATCAAAGTAAATTATTTTTTGTACACCTACATGTTCTTGTACAAAACTTCTTTTTCAGCAGAAAGCTACACACAACAGGCTCTCTGCACTTTGTTCACCATGATGGGGGTAAAAAAACGATCACAAGTTTTATTAGTCATTTTACTAGAAGAAAATCTATCAAGTGATTCTCAATAGGGATGAAGTAGATGTATAGTGTGATAAAAAATAATTATAAATTTAACAATTTTCATATGATACTTTGATAAACTCTTAAGCAAATGACATGTTAGTTCTATTCCTTTTTATGTTTTTTTCTTTTGTTTATTCTACATTTATTGCAAGAACTAGAGAAATCCCAAGTATAGAAATTAAAATATTATACGAATACATTACTTATATATACAAAAAAATAAATAAAAATGTCGGACTTGAGGCAAAAATTCATGCCAAAATATAGATTCTCACATTCAATATACATGCATGTGTATTAGTACCTACTAAAGATTATAATACAAAGACCAGCAAATAAGTGGTATCTCATCTAGTATCCTTGAATCCTTGTTCTGAAAGGCATGCAATCATTCATGCAAGTCTTTTCCTATTGAACTGCTATGAAAGTAACTAACTGCTCAGCTGTGGCAATTTATTAAAAAGTTCATGTGTCACTATGCAACCTGTACAGGATTACTGTCTACATATGATTTTTCAATGATCATGACAGAAAAATTGTATATTTTTTCAATATCTATGGTTACTTATTGGCAAAGTGCCAAATTTCATAGCAAAATAAACACAACATATAAAATGTTCATATTTCAAGTTATATTGTATGTTTACATACTGTACATCTTTTTCTAGTAGGAGTTAAAATCAAATGCAGCATTTTTTTCAAATGTCATATTCTAGCAAGCTTACATATTAAATAGATAAATTGAACTGTTGTTGTGTATTTGGCCATTACTTCAATTTGAACTATTTGTAGAATTTTTTTTAAATATGCAGGTACCATATGTATTACAGATGGTTAAGAAAAATGCAAAATCATAACTAAATTAAATCACAAAAATATAAGACTATCACAGATAATTAATCATTAAAAAATTACAAACTACATACAAGATGATTTAATTACTCCACAGAAGTACACTAATTCTTTTTAATTTTCATATTAATATACATGTGAACAATATATAAGCACAATACACAGACTCACAAAAGATCAATCAGTTTTAGTACTACAACTTGCATGCTATCCATGTAGAAAATAATTAAATTTGATGCATCTAACTTTTGGGCCACACTATAGTAGCAGAAAACTACATAACAATAATCATTGGATAGGTGTATCTAACTCTGAAACACGCGTGCATTTTGGCAGTAAAACTCAAACAGATATATGTAAAAGGTCAGTAAAGAAATGTTTATTCCAAATTATCATGAATCTTTTTGTGATGTAATATCACACAAACTACAAATCAATAGGTCATATATGACATTATTTGCTACAGTGTGGTTGATATATCATAGCACGTTCTTGTTTACTTTCACTCACAAGTTCTTAGAAATATCAACAGTTTTCTCCCACTGATTCTATGGTTGCTCGACCCACTATGGGATCAAGAAAACTAGCTTGCTGGTTCACCAGTTCTTCTGAATGATAAAGTTAATTCAAATAAGAAATAAGTAATCAGTGTTGGAAATGAAATAAATAATATTGTTTTATCAATCCTTACTGTGACTAACATATTATAACATGTTCTTTAATAATAATAGGTACACACATACATGTGCAAGTTATTAATTACTAATACATGCTTAAATAAACAAGAAAAGTGGACTTACACTTCTGTACTAATGAACGATAGAAACTCCGATAGAAAAAGGACCAGGATGAAGAAACAGCAGCATACAGACACAACTGCTCCAGTCAGTGTTGGCTGAGTAAGGTCTTTAGGTATCTTCCTGTAGATATCAAATCTAAAACAAAGAAGGATGTCAAATCTTTGTAAGAATGATTATTGTTATTCTTTAATGGTATTTATATACAAACATATATATTGTACTAATAGTTAATAGTAAAATGTTCTCAAAATCTAGTTTAAAAATCATGAACCAGTGTAAGTGAAAGTGCTTGGGTTATTAGCTTTTTCAGCTATCAACCAGTATAAGGTACACATTTTGGTTCTACATCCTGCTAGTTTAAGCTTTCACTATAGTAAATGCAAGCTTTATAACAAATACCACTGACCATCAAACAGTATAAGATGTAGGAGCATTAATAAATCTGATTATACTAATTTAATAGTTTATTTTATGCTACCATACCTGTTAAAACACTTAATGGTAAAAAACAAAACAACACTATAAATATACATGTAGAGATAGCTTACTTATACTTACCACTATATTCAACTAAAAATTATCTCTAAATGAATCAGACAGAAAGAAGAGTGAAAAAACTTTCTTTAACAATATGATCTGGAAAGTCCTCTATACTTAGCCTACATATACATGTAGAGATAGCTTACTTATACTTACCACTATATTCAACTAAAAATTATCTCTAAATGAATCAGACAGAAAGAAGAGTGAAAAAACTTTCTTTAAGAATATGACCTGGAAAGTCCTCTATACTTAGCCTATAGAAAGATGAATTTCGGTTTTCAAAAAAAGGGAAATTGGGGTAACTAAATGTATATTAAGAATAATCCTCATCTTCACATGGCTATTTAAGGCATATTAGTACCATGGTGTTTCTTTTACCATTGTTATGTCAGTTCTGTGTCACTTATCCAGGCAGAAGTCTTTAACACTCATTCAGGAAATCATTACAAAAGTAAAAGAATTCAGAAAATTAATTCAGCCATGTACTTTAAGATACAATATTAGAGAAATGAATGTTAAAGAAAAAGATTAGTCTTTAACTCTTTCAGCACGGGCTGATACATTTTGTATCACTTTGAATGGGGAAGGACATTTATGCAAAAAAACATACAGTATCTCTGAACATTCCTCACAAAACCTCATAACCTTTTGTTATAAAAGTTTATAAGTATTTTGTATACAGAGAAAGAAATTATTTTATTTATGTCTTTCTAATAAAAATGTTATTTATCTATAGTAGTTATTTGCACTCAAACAGTTAAAATAGGTCGAGGGCAAGGTGATTTTCACCTTATAGTTTTCATATTTAATTTGCATAATCTCTAGAACATCCTAAAAGGATATCAAAAGTTTTTTTTAAAGTAAATGTTCATATTTTATTTTCTAACTAGCCATTATCATCAACATACAATGCAATAAAATAATTAAAATTAGGAAATAGAAAAAGAAAAAGCACCTTTTACTTTTTTGTAGAATATCTTTAAATATTTTCCTTTTGTTAAATTCGTTATTTCAGGTCTTTTCCTTTTCACATACAGTTAACTTTTAATGTTTTTTATTTTCCTTCCTTGTCCTTTACCACTTATTATTCATCTCAACAAAGATCAACAGTTGCTTTGGGAGACATGCAAAATGTTTGTTCAGTGCACAATATTGAAAGCCTTGAGAACAGATGCAAAGCATAATTTATATTTTAAATATGTCTTGTCCTTTTAATTATGCATTTTAAAACATAACTAATATATAATTACCTAAAATATAATAGTAAGACCTAAATACAATTTAAACTGTATCTCTTAACTATAACATATTTAGGTAACAAACAACCATAATTGATATCGTCAATCATGCAGCCAACAATACTACAGTCAGTCACATGTACTCCATAATGACAACTGGGCACCAATTTCAAAATAATCTTTGTTAGATTATAGTTTAAAATCAGTTCTTTCTAGTGACTGTACACATAAGTATGTAACATCTACATTTAGGCTATAAAGCTCAAACAAATCTGTTGAAGGTGGGCATGGCACCTGTCAGGGGTTGAAAAAAGGTATCGCTTATTTTAACTGTATTCATTCAGAGAACTTTGAAATGAACTAGTCAAAATGTCATGTAAGAATTTTATAGTCTAGACGTACCTCTACTCAACTACAACTGTATTATTGAAGATACAGATGCTAAGCAGAGAATTTTCATAGCTTGTTGGTCATGTGACTATATGTCTGAAGTTTTAAGTAGTTTTTTTTTAAAGTTTAATTTAAAATAAAGGGCTTAAAACTTGGATAAAACAAACTTCAAATCATAACATACATTATAATATTAATTTCATTCACATACAGTATTAGTAAAGTTGTTTAATTAAATTTTGAATGTAACACAGTGACTTGCACAGAAAAGTGTTTAAAGGGGGCTCCCATTGCGAAAGGGTTAATAGACAAACCTTTTTTTTTACTTGTATACAGATTTGAAAAGAGGTACATGATTGATCAAAAGAAAGCAATAGTTTATCACATTTTCCTATTCAAATAGTACATATTAAAGATAAAGATAAACACTAAATGAATAAAACAGTATCCTTAAACACAACACTGTGCTGTCTTTCATACACTAAATGAAGTTGGCATGTCCTTTCTTGGGGTAGCAATGATTACATGTTATAAATAACAAAAAAAAAATCAAAATATGTTATAATTCCCTAAGTCTCTTTTGGAGCTTCTAATTATTAAAACAATGTCATTTTAATATATTCAATTTCAGTAAATTACAAGTAGAGTGAGAGTGATTTAGCAAAATATCATCAAATCAAATAACTTTTTTGTATGTGTTAATATAGCATGGTTAGAAAGACTTAAACAATTCATCGTATACATTTAGAATTTAATATTATTCTGAATACTAAAATTAGAAAACAATTATTGAAAATATACACACATTAATGCAGTCAGTGTATTATTAGTAATCATTTGAGATTGTTTCCACTATAAACATTAACAGGTTTTTATAGTTTAAATCTAAAGAAACTGTAAACGTGTATAGATCTTTAAAACTACATCACATATATAGATACATACAGAACAGACAGAAAACAATTCTAATGTCAGTTGATTGTGTTGTATCTATCAGTAACCCTCATGATTAAACAGAAAAATACAAAATGCTGTATTACTACTGGTAATGTTACTATTATATATACATATATATATATATATATTATTCTAAATACTAAAATTAGAAAACAATTATTGAAAATATATATATATATATATATATATATATAT